GGAACTAGAGGAAAGTTGTATTTCTCATCATTGTTACATCGCACCGTGACTGGCTCATCTCCTCTCCGAGACCCCTCTGAAGGAGATCTCCAGTGAGCCCTTGTTATTAGCTCCTCATTTTTTCCTCCCTCCCTCCACACTCCTCTTGAATCCTTGATAATTTATAAATTATTTTGTCAGATCTTACACTGTTTGACGTCTCCCTTCACCCACTTTTCTGTTGTCCATCCCCCAGGGAGGAGGTCACATATAGTTCCTTGTAATCGATTCCCCCTTTCCACTCCTCCCTCCTGGAATCACCTGTCCTGGATTCCCCAGCATGAATTCTAACAGAATCACAAGACTGGAACAAAAGGGGAGTAAAGTCCAAGTAGCCCTAGAGAAAGGAAGGGACCCAGTGTGGGAGTACCTAGGGAGCTGAGCAGGTGTCGGGGAAGAGCATTGCAGGCAGAGGGAAAGCACTGTCAAAGCCCTGTGGTGGAAGCATGCCTGGCAGATCCCGAGGAGCAGCAGGGTGGCCGCTGACTAGATGGGAATGAAGCAGAAAGTCACAGATATGTCTTTGGAACCAAAGACATATTACGAGGCCAGATGACCTGGACCACTTAGATTATTTTTCACTTTTGCCCAGAATGAGTGGGAGCCATTGGAGGGTTTTGAGTGAGGGAGTGACCTTGTCTGACTTTTAATAGACTCCCTCAGGTTGCTGTGGTGCGGGTGGGGCAGAAGCAGGGACTCAAGTCTAGAAGCAGTGTATTATGTACTCTGGGTGAGACAACGCTCTAGACCAGCGTGGAAATGGGGAGAAGCTGTTGGTGGAGCTGACGGGTGTTGCCATCATCTGAGATGGGAAAGGCTGTTGGCACACCAGGTTTGGGAAGATGACCAGAGTCTGACCTTGGCCACCTTTGCTCACAAATGCTCATTCGGTGTCCAGAAGATATGGGTGTGTGAGCCTGTAAGTCAGCTGGAGGCTGTAAGTAAGTTAGATTTGGGAGATGGCAGCATTCGAGCTGGGGGTTACAGCCCTACACATGAGGAGTGAGTGCCCCTAGAGGTGGGCCCTCCACTGGTCAGAGGAATCAGCAGAGGGCACAACATTCTGGGGTTCTGCTATTAGAGTTCTGGAGCTCTGTCCCATAAGCATTGAACTGCTAACTATTCAAAACCGCTGGCCACTCCTTGAAAGAAAGTCTGCTCCGCCAGCTTTACTGTCTCAGAAACCCTACACAGGGTCCCTAAGAGGAGGAAGCCCCTCGAGGCACTAGATATGCCAAGGAGCAAGGGGGTGGGGGGGTGTCTCATTTGTTAAGCTGGAAGACACTGTAATTGGATGAAACACTTGGTTGCCAACTCTTCTTGGGTTTACTTGATATGGGTTGGGGTAGATTTTTGCTGATCATCATAGTCTCCCCTAGGAGCAGGGCTGGCTTCTTTCTAGACCTTCATGTGCTTCACACCTCTTTTCTCAAACAAATACATTCTCTACTAACTCCCTTTTCAGACCCAAGCATGCTTCTCATATCCCTTCCAACCTCTCCACTGTGTGATTTATTATCTGATTGCCCCGCCCTTAGATCAGTGGTTCTCAACCTGTGGGCCGCGACCCCTTTGGGGGTTGAACGACCCTATCACAGGGGTCGCCTAATTCATAACAGTAGCAAAATTATAGTTATGAAGTAGCAATGAAAATCATTTTATGGTTGGGGGGGTCACCAGAACATGAGGACCTGTATGAAAGGGTTGCAGCATCAGGAAGGTTGAGAACCACTGCTCTAGATGTTAGCATCCAGTTATCCCTGTGCTCTCTTGAGCCTGAATGGCTTGCGTCTGGGCTGCACGGACCAGTTTGATATGGAGGATTAAGCAGGGAGTTCTCATCATTTTGGTTATAGCAAACCCTGCCAAGCTTTCACAATCTGTCTTCCCACCTGGAAGTCCAGTCCAGGGTTCTTCTGGGCCTCTACCTTCACTGACCAGTTGGCAGTGAGTCAGGATGGGCTGGAGCTCCAGAAAGAGTGTCTATGGACTTGATTTAGTTCAAGCAGTAGATTCTCGCATCTCTCTGCCCGGCCTCAGTTTATTTCTGTGTGATTGGACCGTATTAATCAGGATTCTTTTGGGCTATCAGGAACAAATGCAGCTTGAACTGCCATATACAAATTCAGCCCACACCAACTCATAGCAACCTGATAAAGAGTTTTTCCGAGGCTGTAAATCTTAACGGAGCAGACAGCCTCATCTTTCTCCCAGGGATTGGCTAGTGGGTTTAAGCTGCTGCCCTTGTGGTTATTAGCTCAATACCTATTGGACCCACATGCCACAGTCCAAGGACTTGAAGATGCCAAGGGAGCCTTGCCTATGCTTTTGTCTTGCCCTCTCGGCTCAGCTTTCCTTCTGGTTAACTTTGTTCAGGCAGCAAAAGTCCTCAGGCTGGAGCATGTGCAGAGGGATGCAGTGCGTTCATTGACTAAGCCTCGTTCATGTGCTCACCTTTGGAACAGGGGCTAGCGTATCACTTAGGGTTCAGGATCAGCTGCTGTAACAGAGACCCAACATGCAGTTTTTCATGCAAAGTGGAGGTATACCTCCCTCTCGTAACTGTACAAAGGAGAGGAAGGCCAGGGCCAGCTCTCTCCATGAGGTCATTCCTGAACTGGGCGATGAGTGGGAAATGGAGAAAAGAACAGAGAGTGCATGCTATTTCCTAATAAGGAAATGCTACAGCATTTCTACCTGTCACTTCTGCTCACTTGGCCACACCTGGCCACTGTTGAAGTGGATAGAGATGGTTACAGAAGGCTCTGGCTGACTGAATTCATTCTATTATGGTCTCTCTCCCTCTTTACCCACAGGTGTGGCTACAGAGGCGGCTACATGGAGGTGATAAACCTGCACCCTGAAATCAAGGGCCAGCTGGTGAAGCTGCTGTCAGTGCGACTATGCCCCCCAGTGTCCGGGCAGGCTGCCATGGACATTGTTGTGAACCCCCCAGTGCCGGGAGAGGAGTCCTTTGAGCAGTTCAGCAGGGTGAGTCTACGATGGCCTATCTGCATTCATGGCTGCAGCCAGGGCTTCAAGGTGATTACACAGAGGCATGGCCTCCAGGCGGTGCTCGTGGTTCTTGGCACCTGAATCGCCTCAGAAAGAAAACAAACAAACTCACTGCCATCAAGGCGATGCCGACTCAGTGAACCTGCAGGACAGAGTAGAACTGCCCCTGTGGATTTCCCAGACTAACTCTTTATGGGAGTAGAATGCCTCATCTTTCTCCCACGGAGTGGCTGGTGGCGTGGAACTGCTAGCCTCACAGTTAGCAGCCCTGTGTGTAACCCACTATGCCACCAGGGCTCCTTAAAGGCAAGGTTAAGGCCAAAGATGCAGCTGTGCTGTGCTGTGCTGTGCGAAGACCAATTTTATTTCCTCACCTATGAACACTGTGGCTGGGTAGGCACCTAGAGGGAAGGGCAGCTAACACTCGAGAGCAGTGGTTCTCACCTTCCTAATTCTGTGACCCTTCCATACAGGTCCTCATGTTGTGGTGACCGCACCATAAAACTGTTTTCATTACTACTTCATAACTAATTTTGCGACTGTTATGAATCAGGCAACCCCTGTGAAAGGGTCGTTCGACCCACAGGTTGAGAAACGCTACTCCAGAGGGTTGGGGTAGTCCTGTTACTAAACCGAAAAGATGGGGAGGTGAGTGGTGGGTGCAGCCCTGCCTCTGGCCAAGCCAGGAGTTCTGGAAGCTCGTTGCAGAGCTTCTCCATCTATCCCGAATGGCAAAACCTTTAAACAAGCAAACAAACCAAGAACGTGTTGGTCATGTAACCACATCAACAGCTCCCGGCTATTGCAGGTTCACACCTTTCCCCAACCACACCTGCAAACTAGAGGTCAGGGAAAAAGAGGAAGACCCGCCATGAGGTGGACCAACACGGTGGCTGCAACAGTGGGCTCAAATCTAACAGTTGTGAGGATGCTGCAGGACTGAGCAGTGTTGTACACAGAGCCACTGGGAGTTGGAACCAGCACCATGGTGCCTACCAACAGCCACCACCACCTGCAAACGTCCCAGACTGACTCTTCTCTAGCCTTGGGAATCCCCACAGCTGAACCTTCACTTATTCTGTTAGATCTTACCTAGGTCATGTGCCCTTGGGCACCACATGGACTGAGAGTGAGGGGAGGTCTCCCAAAATGGGCCCTACACATGCCACACAGACTGACAGTCCTTAAAAATGTAGAGGTAAAGTATTCTACAAATTCTAGGACCACATTCATTCAGCCTTGATTTGCAGGTGCAACGCCCCTTGCTCACACCTAGACACATTGCCTGCAGGACACATATCTGCTGCCCTCCCTGGTTTGCTGTACACACATACACACTTCCCTCCCACCTGTCCAGCTAACCTAGTTGTTGAAGGGGAAGTCTCCAGTAGCTGATGCTGCTCTGTTATCCAGAGATCCTAACACCTATGCTTTCTCTGCCTCTTCAGGAGAAGGAGTCTGTCCTGGGTAATCTGGCCAAAAAGGCTAAGCTGACAGAGGACTTGTTTAACCAAGTCCCAGGAATTCACTGCAATCCCTTGCAGGGAGCCATGTATGCATTTCCTCGGATCTTCATCCCAGCCAAAGCCATCGAAGCAGCTCAGGTTTGGAACCTCGGGACGGGGGCAGCCCACTCTTTGCAGGCTCACTTGGGATGCTGGGTTGGGGGTTGGTGCTTCCTTTAGGGTACAGAGGTGTTGGCTGCAAAGTCTCTGACTTTTGTGGGTCTGTGACTAAACACTGCCCAGCAGTGTCTTCCTGAATGAAGAGACCAGCTTCCAGGCGCAGTTACCCGTGGTGGTCAGACAAAGGCAAGCAGGGCCCGGATGAACGAGTGGCTTGGCTCTGTTAACAGGGCTGCTCCAAAGGGAACCCCAGGTGATGCTGGGATACAGCCAGAGCCAGCTCCTCCCCAGGCTCTGGGCTCTAGAACAGTTCTCACACTTGAATGTGTACATCAGTCACCGGGGACTTGTTTAAATGCTGTAGTTCAGTCTGGATTTCGGCACTTCTGACAAGTCAGTGCCACAGACCCCAAAGATTTCCAGGAGGAAGGCCTAGTGTGGTTGTCCTCATACCATCCCCCAGCCCCTCTGAATACCTTGTAATAATTAAAATTCTAGGCTCTACCCTACCCCAGGCCTCCTGAATGAGAGCCTCAAAGTTTGTATTTAATAGGTTCACCGCTACCACCAGTGGTTGTTGTGTTAACTCTTTTGACACATGGTGGTGACTGTGTGTCAGAGTAGAACTGGTCTCTATAAGGTTTTCAGTGGCTGATTTTTTGGGATGATCACCAGGCCTTTCTTCAGAGGCACTCTAAGTGGACTCCACCCTCCAACCTGTCCAGTTAGTAGCCAAGCTGGTTAACTGTTTGCAGTTGTTAAGAAACCACTGTGTGAGCAGCATTGTGTACCAGGACCCCAGAGGAGCTGGGTGGTGGTTCAGCATGAAAGCGCCAACTGGGTGCCAATGTCAGAGTGCTCAGAGTGTTATGTGGTTCAGCAGAGAAAGGCCATGGGTCAGTGCTTGCTGGCCTTCGATGGGGAGCAAACGAGATAGCCTGGTGCTCCCAGATGAACAGCGGGAGGGCCACAACCCAGGGCAGCCCCAACTGTAGGTATAGATTCTTTGTCCCCACAAGAAGGGAATAGGCTGATTCTACCTTACAACTCTGGCTAGACCAGAGCATGTACCCGGGTACAGTTAAGAGCTGGAAACACAGGGAATCCAGGACAGATAAACCCCTCAGGACCAATAATGAAAATAGTGATACCAGGAGGGTAAGGGGAAAGTGGGAGGAGAAAGGGGGAACCGGTCACAATGCTTTACATATAACCCCCTTCCAGGGGGACAGACAATAGAAAAGTGGGTGAAGGAAGACATCGGTCAGTGTAAAACATGAAAAAATAATAATTTATAAATTATCAAGGGTTCATGAGGGAAGGAGGGTGGCAGAGAGAGGGAAAAAATGAGCTGATACCAAGGGCTCAAGTAGAAAGAAAATGTTTTGAAAATGATGATAGCAACATATGCACAAATGTGCTTGACACAATGGATGTATGAAAAAAAAAGGGGGGGATAACAGAGGAGAGTTCGACAGAGCAAAGACCACCTGGTGTTCAAATCCTATTCGACTTGAAGTTTGTAATGGTGTGTCTGTACCCTGCAAAGGCTTGGATGGATAATCGTGATTCTGTCCTGCCATTTGCAGACTCATACAATGGCCCCAGACATGTTCTACTGCATGAAGCTACTTGAGGAAACTGGCATCTGCGTGGTGCCCGGCAGTGGCTTTGGGCAGAGAAAAGACACTTACCACTTCAGGTACGACGTTGTCCTCTCTGCTCCTGGGCACGGAAGGGGCAGCAGTCTTCATGCTGGACTTCTTAACCTTGATCATGAGGCTGGCTTCCGAGCCCCCGAGCTAAGCTCAGAAGACCCCCTGTCTAGAGAGTGAGAAAACCTGTAGGTGGACCTCCAGGCCAGCTCCCTTAATCGGGTTCTCTTACCCAACACTGCCCCTACGCATCACATCATGATGCGGAATGTGCTCGGTAGCATGTCCTCTACTTGACTTTCCTGTCCCTTTTAAACTCCGTGATAGCAGCACTCAGCTTACAGGTGCCCAGAGCAGTGCCCAGTTGTAGCAGGTGCTCGATGGAGCCTGGAATGCACTGGCTCATTGCCCAAGTGGGCCCCCGAACCTAAAGAACCACTGCATCTAACACGTAGTGGGCTCTGATGCATTACTGCAGCACATTTCCCAAGGCTTCTTTCATGTAAAGTCTCCTTGGCCCGAAACAGGCCCCTGCATTGTTAGGAATGCCCATTCCCAGGGCTGGGCAAGCCGGCAGGCACTTAGGGGTTTCCCTGCTGCAGCCATTTCTATTCTGAACAGCATCTTCTTTCCATACGTCATTCTCAAATGTCTTCTGAAACAGATGCTAAAAAAAGACGTCATAACTTAGCAGCCAGAGGCCAAGGTCATGGACAGTGTTTCCCAGACAGAGAAACTGGTTGGTTGGCTTGTTCAGCATTAGTGGTGTCCTTGTACTCATTCACAAAGTGCCACAGATTGGAGCTAGCACAGCAAACAACACATGCTTTGTCCCTCCTCACCAAGCTTCAAACACCTCCTTGTCCTCTCTCTATAAGAGGAAAGAAACTCCGGAGCTCATCCCTCTCCCATTGTCCAGAACATCCTGTGACCAGGCTGACACTTTTCTCTTCCCTGACAGAATGACCATCCTGCCTCCAGTGGAGAAGCTGAAGACGGTTTTGCAGAAGGTGAAAGACTTTCATATAACGTTTCTGGAGAAGTATGCCTGAGGAACACCCAAGGCGGCCGAGGGGACCTCCCTCTCAGGCCACCTGGGCCAAACTGAACTCCCCCACCCCGCACCAAGCGACTCTGCCTCAGGCCTCACCGGAGACTTCTTTCTCTGTGCCTTGTGGTTGGGGGCACTTCTCTTCTGAGCAAATGTGAACTTGTGATGTCTTGGCGGCCTGCTTTATGATGGAACCAAGTAGAAGGAGTCTCAGCTGATGGCCAAGGTTCTTGGAATCTTGCTTCCAGGAAGTTCATTTAGGGTTTCAACAACCAGTAAGAGGAGGAGGTTTCAGATCTGGAGAAGGCGGGAGGTGCAGGAAAAATGGATGGCTTAATCACGGTTAGGATTGGGCACTCACCAGTGTCACCCAGGAAATAAAATCCTTAGCTGTGGGAAAATCGACAAGTCGAGCCTGGATGTCCATTGGGCTCAGACAAGGCCCAGCATTCTAGGCTAGAGGCAGGACAAGAGCGACAAGAGCAGTTGTATATGGTGTTGGACAGGATGGAACAGGCACTGAGGACTTCAGCCAAGACGGGAGGGTCCTGCAGGAGATGAGTGGCTATGTCTTCCCTTTGGAGTGTACAAGAAGTGGGTGAGGGCCCTGAACACACGGAGGGCTTTGGGTGTAGAAGTCGGTGGGACATGCTTAGGCTGAGATCTCATTTGAGCAGTTGGCCTGGGTACGTCAGCCACTGCTAGCAGCAGCAGGAGCAACGAAAGCCTGACTCGTGTCTGTCCAATTGTTTCAAGCTGCCTTAGTTCATTTCTTACCTCTCAATCGGGTAAAGTACGTGGTAGACCGACTGCTGTAGAGTTTTGTTTCTAGAAGTGTTTTGCCTCCACTCTTTCAACTATGTCCTCCCAAACTCTGAGTACTACATACTGTAGCGTCCTGTCATCAGTCTGGCCAAGCTTGCAACTTCCCCGGCACTGGCCAACCTGCTGAGAGTCTGACCCAGATACCAGGGAAGTGTCTACAGGCAGCAACAGGCTTCCTCCCATCTCCTTGGTGGAGAGCCCTCCCACCGACCCATTTGCCTGCTCCAGTGAGCAGTTAGTGAAGCCTGAGGAGTGAGTGAGCTCAGGAATCTGGGGGCGGAGCAAGTCCCCAAATGGAACTGAAGAAGCTGGAGAAAGAAATCTGAAGAGAGATTTGGAAGCAGCTTTGATACTAGAATTTCCACAGTAGGTCCGTGCAATAGAAAACGTCATATTCTAATCACTTACGGCGATGCTGCAGTCCCTCTGCAGAAAGTGGAAACCGTCTCAAATAACACGAGGGAGTGTTTTGGAACTTGCTTTTCCTTCATACTGAAAAAGACACCTTCGTGCTGGGTCCACCGCACGCAGAGTGCAGTGTGCCCCAGGGCGCAGGACGTCCGGCTCCGGGCTTCGAAAGAGGAGCAGAGGCCGCTCGGCATACTCTGTGAAGGAAGGTGACGTGGTAGAAGCTAATGTAGCTTTTATATTTTTGTAACCATTTTTCATGGGGAGAGGAGGGATTAGTATTTGTAGTCTTAACACGGTCAATCATTGTTTTTATAAATCTCTGAATTCAGATAAATAACCCCTAAGCACTTTGCAATGTTTACATGATTTTTTAAATTGATGCCGTATACATTTGACTTGCTCGACAGCAAACAAGAGGTCTGCTTGTCTAGAAGGCTGACTGGGAACACTGATCTCGGTAGATGTGGTTTTCTACACACAGATTCTATTCTGGTGCCTTCCCTGATTGGGCACCACCAGAGAGAGCCAGCTGTCCTGTGGGGCCACACTTTGAATCCGCACCTGTAATGTTTCCCATCATTCATCCAGGTCAGCATGGGTGATCCTGAGAAGCCATAGGCTGCACTATACCTCGGGCTTTACTGCCTTGCCCCTGGGGGTCAGGCCAGGTGATTCTGTTCCGATGTGTGGCATTCGCATGAAGAGCGGACACAGGCCTGCCTGTGCTTGTTTTCCAATCTGGATTCTGACAGGCATCTCTTGACAGTGGTACCTAATGATAACGCTACAGGAAATTTCTAAACAATAAAATACATGTTAAAAATGCTACCTGTGTTTAACTTTCTGTAGTTTGTCTAATAGGCCTCATAATTGTACATGTTCACTCATTCTTTGTTCTCAGCTTCTCTCTATTCAGTTCGGACTCATGGTGACCCCATGTGAGTCCGAATACTACTGTGCTCCAAGTTTTCAGGAGGTCACCAGGTCTTTCTTCCGAGGCGCCTTTGAGCAGACTTGAACCTCCAGTCTTTGCATTAATAACCAGGCATGTTAACCATTTGCACTGTTGTTAGGTGCCATCAAGTCAGCTCCAGCCCATAGTGGTTGTCTTGGTCCATGTGTCCTTCCCTAAACCAATCTCTGTGACCCATGGTAACAGGCTGCTTCAGCTCTCCAGCCCCATTTTAGCCATTGGCATTGGTGAGAAGAAGAGGAAAGGAAGTTGTAGATGATGCTCCCCAACAAGACTCATTTACTACCAATGGCATCTTAGAGGGGGATGAAGAAACGAGTGGTGTGCATAAGATGGGTTGAGGATATTTGCTGGTTGATAACCAAGATAACTGGAGCCCCTCTCTTTCCTTCATGCACACACATGGGAACGTAACAGACCTCCTTCAGCTGTGGAGTAAAGGGGGTACTTATATTAAATAGAAGCAAACACTGGACTGATACTACAAAATAAAGGTGGGGGGAAATAGTTCTAAATTATTTCCAGTAGAGAGTTTGTTGTAACCACACCAAGAAAGCAACCCACAAATGTTGCATAAGGACCTGGAATGAGCCTGGGCCTTGTAGGGAATGGGGAACCAAAAGACATGGTCACTGCCATCAAGAAGCCTACAGATTTGTCTTGAACGCCATGCACTGGAGTGGCTATCAGTTCACTGCTCACAGATCTAGCCACTCTGAGCTTAAAAGAAATATGTGTGATGAACAATTTGGGGAGCCATGATTCAACAGAACAGTGAACATAATATCACAGAGTTGTACATGTGAAGATTGTTGACATGGGACAGTAGATCATGTTCTTTGCATTGCTTTCAATACTTACCATCTCGGGGTCTTCGCTGCATTCCCTGACTTCACAGAGTCCCTCTGTTCTCCTGTGTAGAGCAGACAATACCCATTCATAAGGTAATAGAATAATTGTGAGAAGTAAATAGAGGGAGAGGTAGCATGTGCATAACTTAGCAGAGTTCCTGGCAAGTACTTAAATTTTTTGGGCACACTAGTGTACAGCAGTGCTGGTATTTGATAGGAGTTCCACAAATGCTGAAATTCAAGGGAAGAATATATCCTAGGTATGCCAGGTAAAATAAAATTAATTTAGAGGAAGTAAGGACACTTTCCCAACACGTCTGAGCACCCTTAGTCTGTTAGTCAAAATACCCAAGTCAACTTAGGATTTTTTGTCCGTGATTCCTTTTTTTCCCCTTCTCCTTTTAGCTGTTTCTGAAATTAAAAATGCATTAGTTCTAGGTCACATTTGCAAAAAGTGTTTGGTGATTTTCCTTTTTAAATTGGCTTCTATGTTTCAGTCATATCTGTGGCCTGTTAAGGAGAAAGCATACCTACCTCATGAAGCCTGCTACAGTTGACGTTAAAAATACATATGCTTGGGGAGGAGGAAGGGGAGGGGGCGGGGGAGGAAAATGAGCAGATTCCGGGAACCCAAGAGGCAAGCGAATTTTGGGAATGATGAGGGCAACAAATGTATAGATGTGCTTTACACAATTGATCTATGTATTGTGATGAATTGTATGAGCCCCAATAAATTGATCAAATAAATAAATAAAGGGAACCTCCAACCATAAAAAACAAAACAAAACATATGCTTGCTTTGAGACCATGATCATCCAGACCGCGTGGTGCTGCTGACAGGATAGAGCTCAGAAAGAGACGTAAATTATGTTTGGGGCATAAAATGTGTACATTTGTTTGTTGTTTTGCTTTGCTCATAATGACAAAATGTTTTGGACAAATAGGCCAAAGCAATACAATGGGAAAGAAAAGTTTCTTTAACAAACTGTATTACAAGTAGATATCCATATAGGGTAGAACTTCAACTCCTACCTCACACAGATACAAGATTTTCAGTGGGTCACTGTTCTGAAACATAAGGGCTAAAACTAGTAAGCTTCTAGAATAAAACATAAAAGAATGTGTATCTTTGTAAAGTTGAGCTAAGTAAAGGTTTCTTAGGACAAAAGTAATAAAAGAAAAAAATTAATGAATTAGATTTTTTAAAAGCGCTTTATTAGGGACTCATACAACTCTTATCACAATCCATACATACATCAATTGATTGTGTAAGGCACATTTGTACATTCATTGCCCTCATCCTCAAAGCATTTGCTCTCTACCTAAGCTCCTCATTTTCCCCCTCCCTCCCCAAATGAATTCGATTTTATTTTAAATTTTTATCAAAAGAACTTGATTTTCAAAAGACACCATTAAGCCAATGAAAAACAAGCCACATATGGAGAAACATTTTCAGAACATAGATCTGATGAAGGATTTACATCAAGGATATCTAAAGAACAATAACTCAACAACAAAAGGACAATTCAATAAAAAATGGGAGAAAGTGAGAAAATTCATAAAAGAAGATACATACATGGTTAATAAGAAATGGAAAGATGTTCAATATCATTAGCTATCAAAGGTATGCAAACTAGTACTATAGCTACTTCCCTCCACCCCTGAACTATAAAACTCACTACAAAGGCCATTGACTCCACTCCAAGTCATAGTGACTCTATCTGATAGGATAGAACTGCCTTTTGGGGCTTCTTTTTGAGACTTTAAACCTTTACAGGGCTCACAGCATCATCTTTCTCTTCAGGAGTGGCTAGTGAGTTTGAACCACTGACCTTGTCATTGGCAGGTCAATATGTAGTCTACTACACTGCCAGTTCTAAAAGTGCTCCTAGAATGGCTAAAATAAAAATAAATACTGGAAATACTAAGTGTTGGCAAGAATGTGGACAATCAAAATCCCAAACATTGTTGGTAGGAATGAAACATGACACAACCAGCTTAGAAAACCGGTAATTTCTTAAAAAGTTAAACACACATTTGCTCAGCCAGCCCACCCCTCGGTGTTTACATCCCAGCCCCCCACCAAAAACCTATATAGGCCTATAAAGGGCTTATATTAAAAGGCTCTGTTTAGGACCAAGTGCTGACAAAAAGCTGGGGTAGTGCTAGGGTTAACTTGTTTCCCATTTTCCAAGGATCACTGTCCAATGCTACATGTTGTCCAACGACTACAAACTATTGTTACATTTTATCTTTCCCACTTTTAGAGAATTGTTTAGGTGGTAAATCTAGTCCCCCTTACTCTATCGTGGCCCAGCAAAAGCTCCCGTACTCTTGTGGGAAGCAGGGGGAATTAGAGTGACTAGGTGGGCTTGGAACCACTCTATCGGGCAGAACAATAAGAGCCTCATTCTCTCTGTGGAGCTACTTGGTATTCAAGGCTTTAAAACTAGGATATGGAAGAAAGGTATTCAATAGTCCGAACACTGAATTTCCCTGTATGTAAATTACAGATCAGTAATAATTGAGGATATAACAGGTTGAATTGTGTCCTTCAGAAAAATACACTTAAGTCCGTCAAATGGCATAATTCATGTGTTCACGTTCTGCATCCTAGTGAAGTGAGTAGCATTTATTTGGAGGTCTTAAACGTTTTCAACAGCCACGAAGCCAAGTCTTTAAGAAACCATACAACTATTGGTTTCTACTTATCGGGGGTAAATGGGTAAGAAGGTAACCAACATCTCTGAGAAGAAACAAATATACGAGGCTGATCTCTTTCACGAAATCACAACCTCATTGTTGTAAGTCAAGAACAACTAGATGGTGCTGGTTAACTGATCTGACCAGGAGAAAATAGATGACCCCAGTCAGAATGGGAGGAAAATACAGAATCAGACTCAAATTCTTTTTAAAGGGCCAGATTAACGGGACCGCCAAAGACCAGAGGTTTCTCTAAAACTATTGCCCTGAGACACTCTGTAAACTTTGAAACAAAACAATTTCCTAAGATCATCATTTAGCAAAAGCACAGAGTGACGCACAAAATAAAGAATATTACCCATCAGATTGCTGCTCAACTAAAAAAATCCTGTATGAGTCCAAAAGGCTAACATTTATTATAAACAAAAAAGATAAGAGACAAGAAGCACAAGGTCTGTGCAGAGACTGGAGGGCGCCCTACAGCAGCTCGCTCAGATCCTCCTTTAAGGCCTTCAGAAGAAACCAACCCTGCCACCACCTTGATCATGGATTTCTAACCTCCACACTGTAAGCAGACAGTTATTTCAGCCCACCCCAGTATTGATAGTTTCTTACAACAGTCTTAGGAAACCAATGCAAAGGAGAAATACTTACTTCTTTTGATTTAACAATTCCACCTCTGGAAATTTATCCCAGAACAGGATGTTCTTGGCTATATCATTGGCCATAGCCAAAAAAAAAAAAAGAATGAGAAAGATGTGTAAATATCCATTAATAAGGGACTGCTCTATTCCTATAAAACCAAATCAGATCAAGGGTTGTTGACCAGATTCCAGCTTATAGTGACCCTATAGGACAGGGTAGAATTGCCCCATAAAGTTTTCAAGACTAAATCTCTATGGAAGACTGACTGACATACTTTCTCCCCTCAGTGAACCAGTCAGTGGATATGAACCACTGCCCTTTCAGTTAGCAGCCACTGTACTACCTTGTATGCCAAGAAAGCAGTGCTTCCCAAATTGGATAACAGCACTTCCTGAGGGACGCTGGAATGATGGGGGTAAATAGGCTGCTTTATCCAGCATTATGGGCTACAGTACACAAGTTTTTTATTTTTTAAATCATTTTACTGGGGGTACTTATAGCTCTTATCACAATCCATACATACATACATAATGTCAAGCACATTTGTACATGTGTTGCCATCATTTAAAAACCATTTTCTTTCTACTTGAGCCCTTTGTATCAGCTCATTCCCCCTCTTCCCATCCTCCCTCATGAACCCTTGATAATTTATC